ACTCTGGAATTTTCCAGAGATCGCAAGTCCATGTCGGTTTACTGCGTCCCCAACAAGCCAACCAGAACACCTGGCGGTGCACGCATGTTTGTAAAGGTAAGCTGGAGAATGTCAGTGTTCTTTGATTCATGTACTTCTTTCTCTATGTATTCTTGTACTTCTTTCTTTTCTTATTTTTGTATTTCTTCTTTCACTTCTTAAATTTTGTATTAATTTCTCTTTGTAGTCTTACTTAAAAAAAAATTCTTTTACTTCCTTCTTTCTCTACTTGTACTTTTTTCTTTTTATTCTTGGGCATCTTGTTTCTTTTCCTATTCTTGTACTTCTTTCTGTTCTTATTCTTATACACTTCTTTTTTTCTGTTTTTATATTTATACACTTCTTTTTTGTGTTCTTATTCTTGTACTTCTTCTTTCTGTTCCTCTTTCTTATTCACTTCTTTTTTTTGGTGTTCTTATTCTTGTACTCCTTTTTTCTTTTCTGCCTGTACTATTTAGAGGGGGGGGGGGGGGGGGGGGGGGTGTGTTACCATTACATCAATCTTTCTGCTCTAGTTTTGTTTTCCCTGTCAGCATCGTGTAAGGAACACATATCTGGTGTGTGTTTCATGCATGATGGTAGTTGTCATCATAGCTGTTTCATGAATGCCACATTTGTGGAGGCAACCTCTTGATTGTTCTGTTTCCACCATGTCTTTAAGCATTTTGTCTCTGCACAGGCCATTAATTTTGTGAGTCTTATTACATGACCAAGCCATCAGATTTACTGTAACTAACTAATTTGGCACTGTTGATGTCTGTTTCTGTTTCCTGATACTTCTTATTTGCATGTAGCGGCTGTAACTCTTGCGGGAAGGTCTGGCTAGTCACCCATGTCTGGAATGTAGTCTTGTTCCTCCTTGCACATTAGTTGCTACAGATCTGGCCTATAATGTGTGCAGACTGTTAGCTCCTTGTCTCTCTGGTAGGCTCACTTTGACTTTGAAGGGAACATCCCCTAGTTAGTTTTTTTTTTTGTTGTTTGACATGCTTGTTGTGGGAACTGTGAGACTAACCCTCCCCCCACACCTCTTCCCAAATGGGGCATGGAACCCACACAGGGACTGCTGCATTGTTTTACAAAAACCCAGACAAAAATGCCAGTAAACCCACTAGCAGGAACCCAGTCTTACAGCGACTAGCTTAAACCTGATTAGGCGATTAGCCTTTTTCAGGGCCAAGCAGCAACTAAGCAGAAAAGAAAAAACCCCCCAACTTCGGAAGTGGCAGACTCGAAAACAGCAGAGACATCAGTGGAAGGTGTGTGGGAGAAATACTTAGAAATTCAGTGACAATACGCCGCAATAACAATTTGAAAATCAAACCAAGCAAAGAAATGGAGCTTCGTTATAACCGCTGCTTAATCCAAGGATCTAGTTAAAAGAGGCAAGACATTTTTTTAAAAACGAATAATGATTACCGAACAACTCACCAGACCATCAGTGACCATTCCAGCGATATCTGATGTTCTTGGCTGTCTTCTCTCACAGATAGGCCTTGCATTATTAGTTATTTACAGTCCTGTAGCATTTCCCTGACCTACGGGAACACCCACAGGCAAGGTGGAGTACCTATTTAACCTAGCCTAAGGTTAAGTTAGCCTAAGTATCAGTTGTTTGGGACTGAAAGAGTTAAACATGCCAGTTCTACCATACAGATGATTGCCATAACTTGGAAAATTGACGTGACCTCCGTTTCCGGCCACATCCATGTGTTTTCTGTTATGGGTAGCTTTAATACTTTTTTGAAGCTTTGCCCAAGAAGTTGGCAAGTCAGATCCGGCAGTTAAATGCTGCTAAGGGCTTGTAATGTTTAGCACATGGGATCTTTTCTGTTACCCTTATCCCAGTAGACTAGATATGTGATTCACTACCCCAGCAACGTGTGTGAGATGATTAAGTATGTTGATGTTGACTTGAAGCTTCATGATGTTGTGTTGCCTGCAGGGTGCCCCTGAAGGTTTGCTGGACCGCTGTACTCACGTCAGGGTGGGTCAAAACAAGGTTCCCATGTCACCGGCTATTAAGAATGAGATCATTAAACTCACCAAGCTCTACGGGACAGGTAATACTTTGTCTTATCGCCCATTGGCAGTTTTGTTTGTTTATTCACAAGGCTAGTTTACTGTGGCAGGAGTAGGTATCTCTGAGAGAGAGAGAGAAAGAGAGAGAGAGAGAGAGAGAGAGGAGAGAGAGAGAGAGAGGGAGGGAGAGAGAGAGAGAGAGAGAGAGATCATACTGGAGGCTAGAAGAGAATGGTTTATTGAGACAGGCCAGAGATAAAGAAAGAATATTTTTATGAATGAGAGGAGAGAGAGAGGTCAGTGGGGATAGATAGACTGGCAGTGTGAGAGAGGTCAGTATTGAAAGATATTGTCTTAGGGTGAGAAGGATGAGTAGTAAGAGAGAAAGATTGTCTGAGGGTGATTGAGGTCAGTACTGGGAGATAAAATAGTGAGATTTTTCTCAGACTTGATTTCAGCATTGTTAATTAATATTTGTGTGTGTGTGCGTGCGCACCTCCCAACAGCCTACTCGATCAGCGACTGAGTTCTCCATCGGCGGACCAGTGAACTCCTCAGGTGTTGATGAGAGAGAGAGATATTTCCCCTTTACATTGAGCATTTTTAGGATCTGTACTCACTGTACCGTATATTTCACCAATAAAGTTGATGAAATGTATCATGTGTATTCCAGGCCGTGACACTCTGCGTTGCCTTGCTTTGGCTACCATTGACAACCCGCCTCGTAGAGAAGACATGGATCTGGAGGACGCTAGGAAGTTCATTCAGTATGAGGTGAGCCCACAGCATGTGCCTTCTTCTAGACTTTGTGCTTAGTTTTAGGTCGTAACCGGCATGGGGCCCTGAGCAAGATGTGTGGTGTCTGGTAGACTTTGTGCTTAGTTTTAGGTCGTAACCGGCATGGGGCCCTGAACAAGATGTGTGGTGTCTGGTAGACTTTGTGCTTAGTTTTAGGTCGTAACCGGCATGAAGCCCTGAACAAGATGTGTGGTGTCCTCTAGATATTTCCAGCAACAGTAAAGGTCATGTGTGGAGCAGCTACATTGCCTTCTATGGCCACCCTTAGTTTGGAGTGTAAACTGGCATAGGTCATGAACAGGATGGTGCATCTGATGCGGGTTTGGATCCGTGACCAGCCGGCAAGCATTTAATCTCTTTACCACTGCAGCTGCCAAAAGAAACAGTTAATATGGAGAACTTCTACAGCTGAGCAACATAAAGCAACATCATCATTGAAACCTCAGATTTCCCATGTGGGCTCCCCGTTCCCAGTTTAAGTTTAAGGGAACTTCTTAGCAGACATGTTGTAATAGGCGACTAATTATGAGTCAGCTGAAATCAAATGTGTTAAGTTGTTGATTCAAAAACCGACATCACAGCACTAGGAGCTCCATCCCCATTTTCAGCAGCCAGCGCAGAGCTCCAGTGCCAATGGCGCCAGTTGCAGTCTGATTATATATCCGTCTAGCCTTTCCTCTGAGCGTCGAGTATCGGCCAGATCTCCTCGTCACTCCCCACTGCATCACTCTCACCAGACTGTGATGATCAATTTTCTGTTAACAAATTGTGCAGTAATGTGTTTAAACCCAAAGGCACAGATATCACAGTTTGGCTGTTAACCAAAGGCAGTGGAATTCTAATTGCTTTTCATTTATGAATGCAGAAGAAGAAGAAAAACACTGAGATGACAGATGTTAGTTAACTCTTTGAGTCCCAAGGAACGCATCATAGGTTCATAGATTCCTACCTAGAAGCCCAATAAACTCAAGATGCGCCGATTTTACGTCTTTCTTGACTACCCCTTGGGTCTGTGATGCTAAACCCCCTGGGACTCGGAGTTAAGGGCCTGTTTGTGGACCTGAGATGTAACAGATGTTGGTTGAGGGCCAGTTGGTGGACCTGAGATGTAACAGATGTTGGTTGAGGGCCAGTTGGTGGACCTGAGATGTAACAGATGTTGGTTGAGGGCCAGTTGGCAGACCTGAGATGTGACAGATGTTGGTTGAGGGCCAGTTAGTAGACCTGAGATGTGACAGATGTTAGTTAGGGCTCGTTGGTGGATAAAGGACTAAAGAAGAAGATAGGCGATGATGATAAAAAGGTCATGATTACCTATAGTTTCTCCAGGTCAGGCATCTGGAGAGAAAGACTAAGGTACTCCGTAGATCATAAACGATATCAAACCAAATGAAAAGAAGAACCAGAACCAGTCAGATTCCTGTTATCACAAACATAAATGACTAGTGAACGTTGCGGTCAGAGAGCCTTCATCAGCACATTACATGAATATAGTACCACAAATATGAAAAAAATTCACAAAACCACTTCACTGAAACATCTCCGAGAGAAATCACATGTCACCGGAAATTATTACTAGACAGAAAAAGCTTTTAACGACAAGGGTCATAACTAAAAATATTAGGTAAAATTGTTAAATATTCAGTCCCCTCGATATGTTGATGTTGGCAGCCTATTTTCATTGCTGATTCTAATTGAAAATTTTCTGGTTGTAGACAAACATGACCTTCGTTGGTGTGGTCGGGATGTTGGACCCACCTCGTGAGGAAGTCAAGTATTCCATCAAGGCCTGCCGGGACGCTGGCATCAGAGTCATTGTGATCACTGGAGATAACAAGGTCAGTATGCTGCTACTTGTATTCTCTTCACTGCGACAGGGAGGTTTGCTGCTGCAGGGACAAAACTAGCATCCCTTTGTCTGTCATTTGTTTTTTTCATTGTCAGGTTGACAAGAGACATTTAGGAAAAATTGTGTGATTCGTCTGTAGTAGTGTTCATGGTCTTATTTATATTCAACGGCCTCATTTAGAAAGGGGGGAGGGGAGGGTTAGCCACTACTCCCTAACAAACTTGTCACAAAAAAGTGAATGATACATATTATCTGAAATTGGATGTGTTGGATAAAAGGGCACCAATATTATTGGTTAGCTGTGCTGCTTTTTAAAGGGCAAATTGCATATCATTACCTTCTTCAACTTTATCACTGGGTGTTTCCCAAATGCTGTAACTGTTTGTGTGGGAAGACCATGTCAATTCCTCTGTGTGCCATCTCCACAATCAAGATTGGCTGCAGCTGATCTTCCACACTCCATCTCTTGCCTGATTCTGCAATTTCTAAACTGCTGGCTGTTTGTCCATCTCCTAATGTTGTCCTACCACTTGTTTCATTGCCTACCTATTTCTCACTTGCCTTTAACTCTCCCCAGTTGTCTTTTTGTCCAGAGATTCTCAACATATTTATTTGCTGATATTGTGCCTGAAGCTTGTAATCATCCCCCCCCCCCCCCCCCCCCCCAAAACATTTGATCTATCACTGTTCTCATCAATCAAGTACACTTTTCTTTCAATAAATGTTTTCTACATAGTTACTTGAATGTGTTTACTTGTATTGTGCCTGAGACAGCCACAGTGTTGTAGCTGCAGATCCAAAGTTTGTGGGTTCGGGTCCTGATGGAGCCTGACCTTTTCAAAGGATGACTTTAGCTTGCACATTAGCCAGGCCTTGAGTGGGTACCAGGTACAGTACTGGGAGGTCGTAGAGATGGCTGGCATGATGCTGACCACATCACCCACTGAATGCCCATTGGTCTATAAGATCTAGATCTAGCCCAGTGGTTCTCAACCTTCCTAATGCTGCAACCCTTTAATGCAGTTGTTCATGTTGTGGCAATCATCAACCATAGTTATATTTTTTTGCGACTTCATAACTTCAATGAATATATAATTTGCAATAATCTTTGCTGACCCATGTGAAAGGGTCATTTGACTCAAAAAAGGATCGCGACCCAGAGGTTGAGAACCGCTGGTCTAGCCCAATATGCATGAAGGCTTGAAAAGAGAACTGTATAAAAATATATACATTTTTTTTTTTTAAACTTCAGCGTGCCTGAAGTTTTAAATACTTTTCTTGCAAGACATTTCATCTGTTGCTGTTCTCTGTTGCCTAGGCCACTGCTGAAGCCATCTGTCGCAGAATTGGAGTGTTTGGAGAGAATGAAAACACTGAGGGTATCTCCTACACCGGCCGTGAGTTTGATGAACTTAGCATAGAAGACCAGCGGGCTGCAGTGATGCGTGCCCGATTGTTTGCTCGCGTGGAACCTGCCCACAAAAGTAAGATTGTGGAGTATCTTCAAGCAGAAGGGGAGATCTCTGCGATGGTATGTTAAACACGAGTTTCTGTAGAATATTGCATGTTGTTTCTGTAACTGTTGGCCAGTTAAATTTATTTCTTGTACCACTTGGAGAATGGTGAGGTCCTGGTTTCTTCCTGGTAGGCAAGCAGCCCACTTATTCCAAACTCAAGGCAAGCAGCCCATTTATTCCGAGCTCAAGGCAAGCAACCCACTTATTCCGAGCTCAAGGCAAGCAACCCACTTATTCCAAACTCAGGCAAACAATCCACTTATTCTGAGCTCAGGGAAAGCAGCACAATTATTCATCCCCATGTGGATTTTGGGACCCCATTGTGAGGAAAACAAGAATAGACCCACTGGCTGCCTAACGAGCATGTCATAAGAGTAGACTAATTGGGGTTTCCTTTGAAGCCAGAATGCATCTACCAGAGATGCAAGGAACAAACAGTCTGCATACAAATAAGTCAGATCTGTAAAACAGATGTGCATGCAACACTCAAGTTCTGGAACAAGTCTAAAGTCCAGATTGGGATGAACAACCAGAACTTTCCGCCTGGGTTTACAGCTGGTGGATGTGAAGAAGAAGAATTATTCTGAAGTCACAACAAGCAACACACATATTCCAAGCTCAGAGCAGGCAGCCCACTTATTCTGAGCTCAACTGTAAGCATTCTCTTTGGTATGTAAACTTTGATACCATCATCTAAAACTGTAATGAATGAATTGATGTGTTTCTCTTGGTACTTGTATATTATGTCCTCGGACAATTTGTTTCTTGTTTCAGTGCCTGTTATGTGATTCTTTGTGTTTATATGCATATCTCTGTCTGTCTGTCTGTCTGTCTGTCTGTCTGTCTGTCTCTCTCTCTCTCTCTCTCTCTCTCTCTCTCTCTCTCTCTCTCTCTCTCTCTCTCTCTCTCTCTCTGTGTGTGGGCGTGCGCGTGCGTGCTTGTTTTAAATTTGCCTTGCTTTGAATTTATCCCGTTTAGTGTTCATTGAATTCCTTAGGTATTTGCAGATCAGTTTTTGAATGAAGTTGCTTCCAGCCATCACTTGCATCACCTGATGGAGTTTTAGTATTCCCATATTGAGGTGTTTTATTTTCCTGTTTCCCCAGACTGGTGATGGTGTGAATGACGCTCCTGCCCTGAAGAAAGCTGAAATTGGTATTGCTATGGGTTCCGGAACAGCTGTAGCCAAGAGTGCTTCAGATATCCTTGATAACAGTTGATGATTGTCTTGGCTGGCTGGCTTTCTCTTTTGGGGAATCTGTAGCTGTGATTGTTTATGTTCTGTGTTTTCTGTGTCTTATGTAGTCAGGGGTCTTGTTTAGCCAGGGGCCTTATGTAGCCAGGGGCCTTTTGCTGTCAGAGGTCTCTTGTGTAGCCAGGGGTCTTGTGTAGTCAGGGGTCTTGTGTAGCCAGAGGTCTCTTGTGTAGCCAGGGGTTTTGTGTAGCCAGAGGTCTTGTGAAGCCAGAGGTCTTGTGTAACCAGGGGTCTTGTGTAGCCAGGGGTCTTGTGAAGCCAGAAGTCTCTTGTGTAGCCAGGGGTCTTGTGAAGCCAGAAGTCTCTTGTGTAGCCAGTGGTCTTGTGCAGCCAAGGATCTTGTGTAGCCAAGAGTGTTTTCAGATATCCATAACAGCTGATCACATTGTCTGACTGGCTCTGCCTTGGGGAAATCTGTAGCAATACTTTGTTTGCTCTGCTTGTGTAACCAAATTGTGTCGCTTATTCGTAACGGTTGATCATTATCTGACTGGTGTTTGCCTATTCCCCTTTTGCACCCCCTTTCTGTCTTCTCGTACCTTCTATGCCTTATTTAAACACCCCTCAATCCCTCCCTTTTCTTCTGTCTTGTCTTTCCTGCTTTTCTTTGCTTTGCCCTCAACCAACCCTATCTACTGTGCTATTTTTCTTTCACTCATGCTCCACCTTGATCTCTCTGAGACATACTATCCTCTCTGTCTTTCTGTTTCCTTGTGTCTTGGAACTTTCTCTCTGTTCCAGTCTCCTTCAATTTTCTCGTCCCTCTCTATCGTCCCCAGTTTTTCCTGGCTGTCACCAGTCTTCTCCCCTGTTGTTCTGTCACATGCCCATAGAATCATGAGTTTTTATTCAGATCAAAGTTTAAAGGTTCTGACCTTGACCCCAGTGCACAGATGATTTTGGCTGACGACAACTTTGCCACAATTGTTGCGGCTGTTGAAGAAGGTCGTGCCATCTACAACAACATGAAGCAGTTCATCAGATACCTCATCTCCTCCAACATCGGAGAAGTGGTCTGGTAAGTCATCATTGCATCCACACATCCTCACTGTGCCGAGGAGATCCTATCATAGACATGTTATCAGGTTGCCTCAGATGTCTCACATAATTAACTAGTTCATATGGTTTTTTATTTGTCAGGAACTACCCTTAGTGCATATCTTTTGCTAGCATTTTTGGGGGGGAGTTTTATCATTTTTTAAATAAATTGTATGATGATCAGTGCTGATTTTCTTTTGTCTTCATTTTAATTTGTTATGATGATTGTTGAATTATTTAAAAAACAAATTATTTCAATTTTCACAAGTAAGTAAAAAAAAAAAAATTTCAGAAAACAAAGATGTTGATTGATCAGCAGTTGTTTTCTCGCCTGATTTTAAAAAAAAATGTTTTGATCAGTATTGATTTTTTTTAATGATCAGTGTAGATTTGCTTTCTTAAATAAATTGTTTTTGTTGTTGGTAATAATTAGTCCTAAATTGTCTTGTGTTTGCAGCATTTTCTTGACTGCAGCTCTGGGTATCCCTGAAGCTCTGATCCCTGTTCAGCTGCTGTGGGTGAACCTGGTGACTGATGGTATGCCAGCTACAGCCCTCGGCTTCAACCCCCCAGATCTGGACATCATGAAGAAACCACCTCGCTCTCCCAAGGAGGGTCTGATCACCGGCTGGCTCTTTTTCAGATACATGGCCATTGGCAGTAAGTGACTGTCTGTTAAGCTAGTTTAGTTGTTGTCCTCCCCATGTGGGGAAAACAAGAATAGACCCACTGCCAGCCCAAAAGCGTGTTGTAAGAATCGACAAATTTAGAGTTTTATTCAAAGTAGGAGTACAAGGAGGCATGGAACTAACAGTCTGCATGCAAATGAGACAGACCTATGAAACAAATGTACACACAACGCTCAGGTTCTGGAACAGGACTAGAGTCCAGAAGTTGACGAACAACCAGAACTTTTCGCCTGGAGCTTACAGCCGGTGAATGTGAAGATGAAGTAGAAGTTGTTGTTGTCTTCAGATACATAGCCTTTGGTGATGTTACTTTTCTCTACAGCTAGATTAACTGTCATCTTTAGTTACATTCCTTAAAATGTGGCATGCATTTTAGCCCGGTGAACACGTTGACCCTGAAATTGTAGCTGAAAATTCTGAGTTAAGCCTGTACCTATTGTTATACCTGCCATGTAAGTCGACCCCTAGTTTTGCAAATATTTGGTTAGGCTTGAAAACTCAACCTATAGGCTGCATCTTACAGTATATGAAAATAGACTTTCTCTAGGACATCACATTGGACAGGTGTGCATTAGTAAGGTGATAGTTTGGCTTGTGTGAATAAAGGTGTGGTTTTGTATGTGTTTGTGTGTAGTGTAGCTATTATGTATGTGTAGTTTGTATGATAGTCTGTTCAGTGCTCTTGACAGAGCTCATCAACGAATATTACATCCCCCCCCCCCCCTCCGACACTTCAATGAGGTACAAGGTGGAAGAGAAGAAGAAGGAGAAGAAGAAGTTTATACGCACGTATGATTTAAAAACAACATATACAGCACAGGAATGCAATCTGACTGGATGTGCAACCATATGTCATATTTTTCTGTGTATAAGACGATATGCATTAATGAGGCGAGGATGCCCAAGAGAAACCCTATGATGAACGTTAATGAGAGAAGCCAAAGCTTCCATGATATTGAACTGATGGCACAGGATAGAATAGAATGAAGGAATAGACTGTGAGCCCTATGTGACATGTAATGGCACAACAATATAATGAATGAATAAGACAATGTGTTTCCCAGATTTTAACGATTTTAAAAATTGATGATTATCTTATAGACGGAATGTGTTTAAAATATTTATTTCCAAATTCTGTGCTAAGTAAATAAATAGGGTCACCTTATACACAGGGGTGATTTATACGTGGAAAAATGTGGTATGTAATGTGTGTGTATGTGTGTGTGTATATATAAAATAATGCTGTTTTTGTGTGTGTGTGTGTGTGTGTGTAGCATTCTAGCATAAGTATATATGTTTCTGATTGATGTCTTTTCCTCGTGCAGTTTATGTCGGCTGTGCAACTGTTGGTGCTGCCGCCTGGTGGTTTATGCTCTACGACCAAGGCCCCAAACTCAACTACTACCAGCTGGTATGGTCAGCTTGTTGCATGTACTTGTCTGTCCAGTGTGTTTGTTATGTGGTCATTTGTCTGGCTTATATGAGAAGACTGGGCATTCTAGATTCAGGGAGCAGACAAGTGTGATGAGCATAGATTTATTGTGTTAGCTTACAGAAGCTGTGATGAGTCTTGGTCACTTCAACTGTAGACCAGTGGGCACTCTGTGGGTGATGCGGGCAGCATCATACCAGCCACCTTTACTTCCTAGGACTTTACCTAATAGCAATTTAAGGCTGGGTTAATCTCTGAGTAAAGGTCATTAAAAAAAAAACAGCCCAGATCCTGCTGGACCTGAACCCATGAATGTGGATCTGCAGGCAAGCATCTGGCCGCTACATGACGGCGGTTCCCACACAGGACAAGTTTATATGTAAATGTCCTGATTTATATATATGGTAAGATAATCTTGCTGCAGTTATTGTTGGGCCATAGCATTCAGAGGTGAGGGGTTTAGTTTCCTTCTATGCTGGCTGGTCTTTCCATCAACATGACACAATAGGAGTGACTACAGTCAACAACAGAAATTTGGTAGTTATTTTTCACCTTTCTTCCTAACTGTACTTTTTCAATTGAAATCATAGTTAGATATCTGTTTCTCATCTCTCAGTGTCTGCACCATTCCACAGTTGAGATTCAGATCAGCAGCATAATTCACATAGTGCCACAAGTCGATGGAGTTACCACACAGTTAAAAAAAAAAAAAAAAAGAGACAAACCACTAAATGGTTACTTTATCTTGTTAATGTTGAAACATGATGTTTAGATGTAAACTGTTTCTTGCCTGACTGCAAAGGCAGACCTTATTTGACCTAATACTTACACTTGATGGCACACGTGTTTAGCATTGGTTGAATCTTGAAAGAACATGTGGCTGTGGGGAATAAGGCATCCACACTCACTGCAACACTCCTGAAGCACCATCTGCAGCCTATCTGGTCAGTTAGTGAACTCATTTTGTCTGTCTGGACGGCATGATGTTGAACGCTTCACCCACGGAGTGATGGTTTGTCTATAAAATATAGACCTAGCCTAGCACTATACACCCATAACACATTGGCATGGAGAAGAAACCCTTTAGAATATGCCTGTTGCATCTCTTGACATGCTGGGAGGGACAGAGGAAGACATACAGTCACTCCTGAACAAAGCTAGAGCTGCTTTTGGAAGGATGAGGCAAATCTGGAAATCCAACAATTACTGCAGAGGAACAAAACTCCGACTCTACAAGAACATCATTTTGCCAGTTCTTCTTTATGGAGCGGAATGCTGGAGAATTACCAAAAAAAGGATGCACACAAGCTGTCCACCTTCCACCACACATGTCTACGTAGAATTATCAAAATTTTCTGGCCAGATACAATCGCAAACACTAAACTACTTCAAGCCACACAAGAGAAGATGGAAATGGCTTGGCCACGTTATGAGAATGACTTCTGATATACCTGCCAAAACAGCTCTCACATGGACACCAGAGGGAAAGAGAAAACAGGGGTGCCTAAAAACAACATGGAGACGAACGATGGAAAGTGACCTGAGTCGGCATCTTTGACATGGAAAACTGCACTGAAGATTGCACAGGATAGGAAAGCATGGAAAGTCCTCTCTGAAGCCTCATGTGCTACTAGGCATAACGAGAACTGATGATGATTATCTCTTAACATGAAGACTTGACAGGACACTAGAAATATGTGAGCATACATGCCATTTTATGTTACATGTCGGCATGTTGGTCGTGGTCCTCGAACGTTTTCTGATGCTGGTACAACAGATGATCATAAACTGCCAGTTAACCAGTTTTTGCAGAGCTTTGATAGGCTTGCTCTGACCATGTGAGAACTTTGCATGTTCCTCAGACACACCACATGCAGTGCCCGGCCGAGCCAAGGATGTTCAAGGGAGTCGACTGCAATGTGTTCCAGGCCCCCGAACCTATGACAATGGCTCTCTCGGTTTTAGTTACTATAGAGATGCTGAATGCACTTAACAGGTAAAATCTCACCTGGATTTCCCCATCACTGTGGTCCCTCCACAGCCCACACTTGTCCATGAACACACTGCATTGCTTATTTTATTTTTGCTCGCCCGTATATTTTTCTTCATTGATGTTTTTATTTCTTTCAGTATTTGCTGGTTGTGTTTCTTTCCTATTTGTTCCGCATTGATGTTTTTATTTATTCCAGAATTTTCTGGTTGTGTTTCTTTGCTACTTGTTCCAGATTGATGTTCTAATTTTAGTCTTGTCCGGTCATGGCTGTTTCCTGCTTGTGTTTTTCTACTCATTGTTATATTTCAGTGTTTTTCCATGAAGTTCTTGTTGTGGTAGTCATTTTTCTTTCCTGACCAGGTTTTATTCCATTTTGATGTTTTTATTGAGTGTTCTTTACTGGCTCTGAGTAGTGGCAGGAATATTTCTTTGTGGCCCAGTTATTTCCTGAATAACTAAATGATTTCTTGGTGTCTTTTGTTCTTCCCTTATATTTATGTGGTTCTGGTTTTTTAATTTGCTGACATCTGGATGAATAGTCATTGTTTCTGCATGCCCCCCTCCCCCGGTTATATTTTGGCCTTTGCTTGGATATTTTCATATGGTTTTCATTACTTTTTGAGTAGATCTCTGTAATAATGCATCAGTTGTTATGGGTAGGCGGTCATTTTTTCCTTCTTTTTACAGAGCGTCTCTGTCTTGGGCTGTTTCACACATTGGTTGACCTAATCAGTTTATTTTTGGGTGTGGTTTACTTATAATGATATACTTTGATGGTCAGACATTGGTGAGTGCTGCGGTTACTTGTTTTTCAGTCATACTTACTATCCTCTATTGTTTCTCGACCCAAATTATGGGCTAGCTTCCACTGTTGCCCTCAGATCTCACCCAACGCTATGATTTCTTGACCCTGGACTTGTGATTAGCATCCACTGTTGCCCTGAGAATCTTGGCTCAAGCTGTTGTTAGCCAGAAGGTTTTTCTGCCTCTCTCTTGTTGGTGTGAAGTCCTCGTGACTTCTGTGTGGGTTTTCTTGACCTGGGGTACTTCACCAGCCGGTCATTGTTGTCTCCAGACCTGCATCTGACATGATGGTGCTCTCCTGAATCTGTTGTCACATGACTAACCGTTGCTGGCTGTGTTAATCTCCCACAGACACACCAGGCCCAGTGCTTGGCCCAGGACGAGATGTTTGCTGGCATCGACTGCGGGGTCTTTGCCCACCCCAAGCCCATGACTATGGCTCTGTCTGTGCTGGTCGTCATTGAGATGTTGAATGCTTTGAACAGGTGAGGGGGCCGGCAGTCTGTGGGCAGCCCACTGGGGCCTGCCTGAGTTAGTGTGTGAGTCTGCAATGGGAGGTTGATGATATTGACCTGGGTTCTGCCTGTGTTTTGTTTCGGGTAAATACATTTTTGGCAAATATCACTAAATATATATATATATATATTATATATATATATATATATATATATATATATATATATATATATATATATATATATATATATATATATATATATATATATATATATATATATATATATTTGTGTCTTTACAAGTAGTGTTTTTGCATAATTCCAAATTGACATGCAGTATTATGGTGATTACAGATCCTTTTTTGTTTCTTTCTATATAGTGTTTTTTTTTAAAAACATAAAAGAAAGTTATTAAGAGGGAATTCTGTTTTCTTCAGTAAATAAGAGGTTTAAAATGCAGGCAGAAATCAGTGAATCAAAGAATGTCATACTAAGGTAGACACCTGGGCCAGTTTGTTGAGAAGACATGTTTGAGAGAACAGACAAAAAGAGGCTGCTGCTGCTAGACAATATTTTGTCCAGGTGTGGCCTACAGGTGTGACATTCTTTGATTTGTTTCATCACAGGCCTCATCACCTGATATCCCAGACATGGCTGCCTGGATCCCCTGATCTCCCAGTGTTGGTCTTCATGTCTGGGGTGTGATGGGCTGAGGCTTGTTCAGCGAGTATGTCAGCAGGGAGATTGTCTGTCTGAATCCTGCACTCACTGGAAAACCACAGCTGTTAGGTCTTTTTGTAACTTGTATTGTCTGGCAGTCTGCACAGAGATGGGAGGACAGATAGAATTATCAAAATGCTGATACTACAGACTAGATATCTACAAATTTTAATAGAAGCTAAATGGGCTTTCATGGAAGTGGAAAATCAGAAAGTGCGTAAACATTAAACCTGGTACGAAACTGAAAATATGTAATTTCAAATCAGTACACTAACATGGTGACGACTAAAATGATTACTAGTAAAGTGACATTAATTACATGGTGCCTGCGCAGAACGGAGAGAAATAAATAATACAACAGAATGTGGAGCTTTGGAATAGGGGTTATCAGATTCCAGTGAATCAGAAGGTGATGGAGAGATACTGGCACTGGAAAGGAAGACAATGTAACAACAAATGTGTCATTGCATTGTAACCCACTGGCCTAACAATGTAATTGTAGACCCAAAAACAAAACAGAGTTTAAATGGCTACTTTGTCAAACATCAGTTCAGTGATCTTTTGTTATCAGAATGCCAGTAATGTTTTTTTTTTCAATTGTATAGACGTTGTGTTAACATTAGAAGGCAAACTGGAGGCCATAGTGGTAAAAGCAACAACAAATAAAACACACGTAAATTTATAGGGGAAAACCATAAAAAATTATTTTGCTAAATTTTTTAAATTTTACATTTTAAGCTGTTAAAAAAAAATATGAAGCAGAGTAATAAGTAAATACAGATAGAACAGAGAATTTTATAAAATACATTTAGATGACCCTTGTAAAAATGGTAAACAGTGTCTCATTGCGTGGACACCTCCGCCAGTGCTATTTTTAGTCAATATAATTATACTGTCCTTTGAAACACTGTTCAGGTTGACACAACAAAAGTCGTTAACTAAACTTCTTTTGGACTGATAACTAATATTTTTTTAATGGCTTCGCAGGAATTTGTAAGATGTTTTTGCTGGATTATCAGTGTTTCAGGAAGATAAGGTTTAGTCTTGCAGAAATCTGTAACATAACATCTTGGGCAATTTCTTAGAAGGTTGCCATGTGGTTTTTAGTGAGTGCAGGGCATGACACTGTGCGTCCAAACAACCTGTATTGTGTCTTTTATGTTTTCTCTGCTACACCAAAGATGAGGAGCTGGTATACCTAATCATTTGTGTTTGGTTTTGGGGTCCTGTTAACACGAGCTATATCCCCATCTCATAGAACCTCTGGTGCGGTGGTGAAATTAACTACGACTGCTTATGATTATCCTGACATTTTAAGGCAGCATTTTATATTTTTTTAAAGCATAGTCAAAGGGAAGTTAACACAAAGGGACACTCAGTGCAGTATTTAAATGCTTTTTTGTTTGTTTTTTCTGATTTCATACTTTTGTAGCCTGCATGAGAAATCCTGGATTTTTTGGGGGTTATAGTTTGAATAACATGACCAATCATTATGTCTGTTTACTTACACCGCACAGGGGGAGCCTCAGTTGGACGTTGATATTTGTTAATTTTCCCTTGACTTCCTGTTGCCACAAATTTACTTTGTGAATTGAGTTTTATAGTTGCAGTAAATGGCTAGTTTTATTTTTGCCATCAAAATTTTATTTTGCCTCTGCCTTTAAAATTTATTCTACATTTGTTTTTAAAAAAAATATTTAAAAAAAATATTCTGAAATCAATATAATTAGAAATGTTACAAACAGCCACCCCAAGCTCGGGCAGAAGATCAGACCACATTGTTGCCATTAGACTCTTGACTGGTCATGTTTTTTAAAACCTTTTTTTTTTTTAAAGGCTTGCGTATTTTAAAATGTTTTAATATATTTTTTCAGGGCACAGATGGTTAGAAAGGGAATGTACATTAAAATATTGCTTTTAGTGACTGGGAGATGATTGTTTCTTTTGGAGGTGGGGATTTTGATTTTTTTTCTAGTTTTAATTTTTTGATGCCAAATTTGCTGATTTAAAGAGGAAGGGAAAAAACAAAACGTCCAACCAGCTCCCTTACGATGTGTGGTATGGGAAAACAGGACCTAGGTTGTGGTGATGCCTGCTGTTGCCATGTGCAAACAGTCTTCCTGCATGGTGTGCTCTCTGCCCTCCTGTCATGATTTCACACTAACAGCCCTCTCACTTTAACAGTTTGCGGTTAGGTTTCAATATCATTTTTTGGTTTAACATGGTTATTAGAAATTATGTAGTTCAGTTTTTTGACATTAGGTATTCTAACTTTTTTTTAGACAGTTTTTTTTTTTTTTTTTGAAAGCATCTAAATTCTCAAAAATATTGATTGTGAGATCGAGGTGGTTAATGTACAGGTATAGCATTAATGATCACACAATTGAGCCAGTCAGAAGTAAATATTTGATGTGTAATGTCTTAAAGCCAAAGCCTGAAGGAGTATGTTAAAACCGTTGGTTGTAGGTATTGTAAAGCCTTTCACTGGCAGCCATAGTGAGCAGGTTTAGAGTAACTGGTGGTTGTAGATTTTGTAAAGCTGTCCTACGGCGGCATGCTGGATTTGGGTATACACTAAATAAGCTAAAGTTTAGGGCCTCACAGTCTGTAGGGACCTAAAGAAAAATCCCAGTTAAAAAAATATATTACAAATGCTGTTTTCTTTAAATATATTTAAAATTTATGTTTTAGCAAACACATTCTTTATTATGTCTCTAAATGAAAAATAAACAGTATGTTTCTATTATCCCTATATTTAAAAGGCGTTTTTATTTTAAAGTTTTCTGAGGTTAGCTTGTGTAATTTGAAACGGTAGTGGCCATAGGGTTGCATATAGCTTAGGGCTCTGGATGGCGGGGATAAAAAAGCAGGCTAATAATTAGTCAGTGGTTGTAGGTCCGGTAAAGCACTTCCGTGCCAAGGGTAATGAGCATTGATGTCATGATGGCCAGCCAGAAATAACATCCTTACACCCACTTTCAGTTGCAGCATCTCGTCCGTGGCCACAGCTCTCTTTCAGGCCAACCAGCATCTAGTGCTGATGCTGCCCCGACCTACTTATTGAGGTCAGCTGCTAGACGATGGCTGGATCTTGTAATCTGCTCCTGCAGCGGTCCTTACAGGATGACCATTCTTGTTTTGGTTCTTTCCATTCAGTCTCCTTATTTTGATCACATTGCTGTTTGGTTGGTGTACCAAGTTACCTGCATGTTTTTCATTGCACTTGGTTGCAGCCATGTTAAAGTTTCACTTATGTTCTGTTTTGTATCAAAATTTAACACATTTTGCTTTTTTTTTTACCCACTCACATCTCTCTCTGCTTGTTATTCCCCAACACCACGGACAAAAACAGATGCCCTCTTGACATATCCTAGGACCTACCAACATGTCCCTCCCCTTCCTCTTGCAAAATTATAACATCTGTAGCACACAGTACCATACATAGAGCTGTGCTGCCACTCATTGCCCTAACTCTACCACTCAGTGCCCTGCCGCTACCACTTGGTGCCACAGTTCTACCACTCAGTGCCCCCGCTCTACCACTTGGTGCCACAGTTCTACCACTCATTGCCTCTCTAACAGCTTTACCACTCCGTACCCTAGCTCTGCCACTCAGTATCCTGCTGCCAGCTCTACCACACGGTGCCTCTCTAGAAGCTCTGCCACAAGTGCCCTAGCTCTACCACACGGTGCCCTAGCTGTGCCACAGTGCCCTAGCTCTGCCACAGAACCCTAGCTCTGCTACAGTGTGTACCCTAGCTCTGCCATTGTACCCTAGCTCTACCACAGGATGACCCTCTGGAAGCTCTGCCACAGTGCCCTAGCTCTATCGCTCTGTTTTTGAAACCTCTGTCAGTCAGTGCCCTTCTGATAGCTCACCAGAAGCAGCATATGTGACTGACCACAGAGGAATTTAGCCACTAACTGCCTGCTCATGTACCTGCAGAATCTCATGTCTGTCATGTTAGGCTGTACCGTTGCTGGGTGTCTGCTATCTTAGGCTGTACTTAACCATTCACTGACACAGCTGTGCTTTACATATATTTGTGTTTGCTTCTCTAACCCTCTTGCTGTATGCACGTGCACTATTTAATTTTTCTTTCTTTGCTTCTATCCCTGGATTCCCCCACCCCGCCCCCGTTTTGAATTTGGTTTTCTGGTCTGACATATTTATTGAAGGTGTATTTATGTATTTTATTTTATTCTTAATATGATACACATTTGTCTGATCGGCTTTATGTCAGTTTGCATGTATTTCCTCTGGTTTGAGCTGTTTTCCTATTTGTGGGGACTCTTCCTTTCCAACATTAGATTTGTATTTATTATTATTTTTGTGTGTTTTGAGAGATTGGTATTAGTTTTGCATGCTTAGACTAGTTATGTCATAGCTGTTAATGTATTTGTTTTGCACTGTTTTATATTTAAATGCACCATTTTCTTTCATTTTTTATAATTTATAGGTAATTTAACCTATGTTTCATGTGCCCATGATATCATATTTTTTCTTCTAGTTTCACTGTTAAATTTATCTTCTTGAAACTTCTCTTTCCCCTTTTCTGACACTCCGTCTCCCTCTTTATTTATCTCTCCATTCTCATCTTTCCTTCCACCCTATCTCTCTTTAATTGTTACACCAGCTCCTCTCCATCTTTCAGTCTACCCTTAAAAAAATGTGTTCCTATCTGTCTCACTCTTCATGTTGGCCTCTTTCATCCCCCATCCATCCTTCCTCCCCCCATCCTTCCTCTCGTAACTGTACAAACCAGGACAGAAGTATCTCTTTCAGTCCCAAACAACAATTTCAGTCACCTAATACACCCCAAAGCCCTTCCCTTAATTCATGCGGGGCAGTCCAGTGGGGGGGGAGGGCTCACTGAATCAGTGTACGGCACAGTAAGCCATCGTAAAGTGAAGGCATGGTAAAGTTAATCAGTGTCAAGTTAAAATATGGTAAAGTGATAACACGGTAAAGTTAATCAGTGCAAAATGAACACGGTAAAGTAAATCAGTGTAAACTGAAAACAGCAAAGTTAATCAGTGTCAAGTGAAACCTTCTGTATGGTGGATTCAGCCAGTAAAGGATCATTTCCCACAACTTCAGGTGTATTGTACAAATAGGGGTAGACCTATATTTATTTTATAGACCAGTTGGCACTTAGTGGGTGATGTGGTCAGCATCATGTCAGCTGCCTTTACTTCCCAGGACTCCATCTGGTACCTACTGAAGGCTTGGTCGACCTACGAGCTGAGGTCATTTAAAAAAAAAAAACCTGGTATCTGAACGTATGGCCTTCACATCCGCAGTCGAGCATCTAGCCGATACGTGATGGCGGCTCCCAAATTCAGTCAGTGATGTGAAGTTATTCACTGTGTGTGGTGAAGTTAATCAGTATGTGGTGGTTTCACTCAGGGTATCACAGGATTAATCAGTGTGCATTAAAACTACTGAGAGAGTGTACTGTGACGTTAATCACTGTTGAGTCTGCTGGGTCAGTGACACAATCTGCTCAGTCAGTGACACAGTCTGCTCAGTCAGTGACACAGTCTGCTCAGTCAGTGACACAATCTGCTCAGTCAGTGACACAATCTGCTCAGTCAGTGACACAATCTGCTCAGTCAGTGACACAGTCTGCTCAGTCAGTGACACAATCTGCTCAGTCAGTGACACAGTCTGCTCAGTCAGTGACACAATCTGCTCAGTCAGTGACACAATCTGCTCAGTCAGTGACACAGTCTGCTCAGTCAGTGACACAGTCTGCTCAGTCAGTGACACAATCTGCTCAGTCAGTGACACAGTCTGCTCAGTCAGTGACACAGTCTGCTCAGTCAGTGACACAGTCTGCTCAGTCAGTGACACAGTCTGCTCAGTCAGTGACACAGTCTGCTCAGTCAGTGACACAGTCTGCTCAGTGATGCATTCTGCCCAGCAATTGTACAGTGAAGCCCATTATTTACTAACCTTGTAACAAAGGCCACTAATGAAGCCCACTGCTCACTCACTAAACAATTTCTGACAACCTACCATCATTTAACAATAACCCCGCTGACATCACTTTGACATGGTGCCCTGACAACCTACCATCATTCAACAATAACCCCGCTGACATCACTTTGACATGGTGCCCTGACAACCTACCATCATTCCACAATAACCCCGTTGACATCACTTTGCCATGATGCCCTGACATCCTACCATCATTCAACAATAACCCCTCTAACATCACTTTGACATGATGCCCCGACAACCTACCATCATTCAACAGTAACACCGCTGACATCACTTTGACATGAGGCCCTGACAACCTCCCATTCAACAATAACCCCACTGACATCACTTTGACATGATGTATGATGCCACGACAGCCTACCACCATTCAACAGTAACCCCGCTGACATCACTTTGACATGAGGCCCTCACAACCTACCATCATTCAGCAATAACCCCGCTGACATCACTTTGCCATGATGCCCCTGCCCTGGCCTCATTAACCTGTGTTGTTGTTAATTTTCACCATAACAGCTTGAGTGAGAACCAATCCCTGGTGGTGATGCCTCCCTGGACCAACCTCTGGTTGATTGGAGCCATCAGTCTCTCTATGTTCCTGCATTTCTTCATCCTCTATGTGGATGTTATGTCTGTAAGTATCCGTGGACACTGGATTCAGTGTTGTCCTTGTGTGTGTTTGCACGCACATTAGTGTTTAGGTGTGCCAGCCTGCTGTTATGAACAGCTGTAGAGGGTCAAGGTGTGTGATACTAGGTAAAATCCTCTAAAGTAAACGCGTGTTGACGACATTGCACATGAAAGGGCGATTGGTCTATAAAAATATGTGTCCAGCCTCATATTTCGGACGCACCACTGACCTACGGAGTACACCACTAGCGTACAGAGTTCACCACTGGCCTATAGTCCCCCCCTTTTTTTTCTACTTTACCTACATGTCATTCATGGAGCATTTGATACACTTTATTTATGGTTTTCCCCGCATGGTTTCCAAGGTCCCATTTTGAGATATACCCACTGCCCCCCTAACAAGCACTAAAAGTTAATTACAGATATTCTCTCCAAAGTTGAAAAACATCTGCCTTTGTGGCGAGGAACCAATAGCCTGCATACAAGTAAGCCAGATCTGTAAAATGGATGTGGACTTTAAACTCAAGTTCTGAAATAAGACTCCAGACGTGGGCAAACAACCAGAACTTTCCACTGGGAGTTTACAGCCAGTAAACTCTAAGAATAAAAATAATAATTATGCTTGATTATTTTAGTTAGTCATTTTAAATGTTGTTTGCAGCTGGTGTGAAACTGGGGGGGTGTCTAGCTGAGGATGTATCAGTTATATTTTTATGTGCTGATGACCACCTGAAGAGGGTTGCCATTTTGTACAGTTGCCCACCCGCACTGCCATCATTGGTTCAGATCCCCAATGAAGCTGATTTTTTTTCAAACAGACTTGGGTTTCCACGTTGACCAGAGCTAAAATGAGCTGACCAGTAAAATGAGTTGACCAGAGCACTAGCAGCACACGGAAACATGTTTGTTTGCACCACCCCCACCCACCCACCAACACACGCACGCACCCACCCACCCACCCACCCACACCACCCTTTCTTTGTTGTACAGATGTTTGAAGGCTTAAAAACTTCAGTTATACATAGTTGCCAGCTTGACTGAATTTGAAAACCGTCTCGTTGGCAGGTAATTTTCCAGATCACACCCCTGAACGTGGAGGAGTGGGTGGCGGTGATGAAGATCTCCATCCCGGTGATTCTCTTGGATGAGACACTCAAGTTTGTGGCCCGCAAGTTTGCAGACGGTAAAAACCCTCTATACTCATGTCATTGGCTTGTTCTTGTGTGGGCGGTCTACACTACCTGGGTCTATTTTACCTTGATCAGCCCCTGGTGAGAGCCTTCCGTCTTTTCTATTCTTGACAGGACAGACACAAGTAGCAGGATACACTTTACAGTGGAAGCTGGACTCTCCGAGTGTTTCTGTTTTTTTTTTTTTTTAAATAAATATTTATTTAATATCATTGTAGATAGTCTGTTAGCTTTCTGGTAGCATTCATGTGATAGGTCTAACAACAGGAGAGTTAACATGAGCATGAAAGTGAAGGGAAAATAAATGAAATATCACAAATAGATGTGGCACACTGGGTGTGTTAATGTTATCCGTACAGGTAGCAATAGGGTATTAGTTATCCTAGCCAAATTAACATTGGTAAGAGAGGAGACACAAATCATGAGGGTGAGTAATTGTGAAGAAGAGCAAATAGAACAGTATTACGAAAAATGGGGGAGCTTTTTTTATTTTTTTTTTTAAATATGTCCAAGTCACTGGAACATCAGTGCAGCATGTATGCAGAGAGTGATGCTAAAGTAATTGTGGCCAGATTCAGTTGGCATTTTATGTTGAAGTAAATAGTGCCAGATTCAGTCAGTATTGTGTCTGAAATTAGTCCAGTCTGTCAACATTATGTGCTGGAAGTGGTCCAGAATCAGTTAGCATTTGCAGCCGAAAGTAGCCAACGGGTCACACTAAACTTGCACATTCTGCCAAATTTCATTGTTTATAGTTTACAAAATGTCTGAGAATTTGAGAAATAGAGAATAAGACAAGGAAGGTACGAGGTGAACAGCATGTGATGGCAAAAGATAAATTTACTTGAGTGTCTTCATATTTAAAGCGAGGAGAAGAAAGTTGTCAGTGTAGCCTTGAAACTTCAAATCTCATTCGAGTTCTGTCTTGTATTGGCTAATTTGTTGTGTTACCAGCATGTTTCTGTGCTGCCCCTGTAAATATGGTGGCATCTGAGGTTTGAACTGGGGGGCTTCTGAAACATATGGTGTCTAATCTGGCCAGAGAATGCATGCTTGAGGATTCCTACCCCCCCCCCCCCCCCCCCAATCCTACTTCAGCATGTGTTTCTATGAATGAGACATGGGTTGGTAGTGTGTGGGGTTTGCTGTATGATATGTGCCCATTATTGATTACTGTTGATTGTGTGGGTTTGCTGTGTGACCACATGAAACAGCCTTGCTGTCATTTGATGTGTTTTTTAAAACATTTTCTCATGAAAAGAATCATTGCATCATCCTCATCATTGACACAGCACACACGTCTAGTGTATTTGTTCACTTCATGAATTTGCTGCTACAGCTGTTTTAGTTGTGCCTCAACCCTTGTTGTCCACTTCTGGACTGGCTGTGTTGTAGATAAGGCGACATGTGCTGCCTGTGCCCAGAATTTTGAGTGTTTTGATACATGTCGTGGAACCTAACCACCCATTACCTTACTAACTGATCCATACTCTTTCCCTCAAATCTCAAATAGCTTTGTTTTCATAGTATTTTTGTGTGTTGAATTTTATTTACATGATTTCACCCCTTCTTGCCCTTTAAAAAAATTTAAATATCAGGAAATATAGCCTTCTCGTGTGTGCCCTTTGCTGCACCCTTCTTATATATTCTTTGATTTGCTGATGCAGGGTTGTAAGTACAGTCCACACTTCTGCATTAAGGCCAGAAAAGCCAGAGTTATATTTGTTTAACTGTTGATGAATTTTGATTGCACCTCTATTGAAATATTGATGACATCTGCTAATGCATGTACTAGCTAGAGAAGTGGTCTCAGTCTAAGTGAGGCATAATCACTCTGCTGGTGTGTCCCTGATTAACACCAGTGTAGATTGGTCTACTGTTATCCCACCATTGTGTAAAAAGTTACCAGGAAACTTGTGAAAATGTTGTTTACAAATATTCAGTTGTGTATTGTATTCAGACCTGCCAGCCATCTATATCTGAAAGTTGTGCCATTCAAAGATGGCATGTGCAACACTTTGAGTTCATGGCAAACAAACAGTTTTGTTTTTGTGTTGCCTCTGTCAGGCCCTCCTCCATGTTCAACACTTTAGGTTCATGGCAAACAAACAGTTGTGTTTTTATGTTGCCTCTGTCAGGCCCTCCTACACGTGACTATAATTTCTTCACATTGTGGGCTCAGCACATTTGATTCTGCCAGACCATTAGTTATCGCCTTCAACAACATGCTTGGCAGCAGATCTGTTCTTTCTCTCCCAAATTGAGGGCCTCCAGAACCCACACAGGCAGCCCAAAATCTGAATGTCCATATATATTTTCTCCAACTTTTGGAACTCACTTTATCCTCCCAAAAATCATTGTTGTTGCTGTGATTGTTGTTGCTAAGTCCATTGTATTGTTAGTCCAAAGACTCTTGTTTCACACAAACACACACACACACACACAAACTTTGGTTACACTGCTAACCTCAATGCCATTATGTTAGCTAGGCACACATGTTTTCAATGGCAAGTGCTTATCTTGTTTAAATCCTTTGGTAGCAGATTGTCACATTCTGTTTGTATCTGGTACAATCAGTTCTCTTTCATTCTGTCACATTCTGTTTGTATCTGACACAGCACAATCAGTCCTCCCTCATGCTGTCACAGTGTGTTTGTATCTGACACAATCAGTCCTCCCTTAGGTGTCACAGTGTGTTTGTATCTGACACAATCAGTCCTCCCTCATGGTGTCACAGTGTGTTTGTATCTGACACAATCAGTCCTTCCTCATGGTGTCACAGTGTGTTTGTATCTGACACAATCAGTCCTCCCTCATGGTGTCACAGTGTGTTTGTATCTGACACAATCAGTCCTCCCTCATGGTGTCACAGTGTGTTTGTATCTGACACAATCAGTCCTTCCTCATGGTGTCACAGTGTGTTTGTATCTGACACAATCAGTCCTCCCTCATGCTGTCACAGTATGTTTGTATCTGACACAATCAGTACTCCCTCATGCTGTCACAGTGTGTTTGTGTCTGACACAATCAGTCCTCCCTCATGCTCATGTAGGTCCTGTGGCTGGAAGATGGGAAACAGCTACACCCATCTGTGTGTGTGTTTGGTGAGTGGGATGGTTCCATCATCATTGATTCAGGGTCCGTGTATGTCAATAAACTGCATGTGGCCATATTCTTCTGTCTCCTTGTGTGTAAAATGGAAATGGTATATTTGTAAGTTCATACATAATATGTAAATTGCCAGTGAATACGTGTGTGCTGTTTGTAGGTGAAATAGGGGAAGGGAAAGAGTATATGGTAACGCCAAAGTAGACATTATGGAGTCACCTGTGATGCCCTCCTGCCCCTATTTGTGTGAAGATGTGTTGTGTACAGAGCTACCAGCTGGCCTTGAAACCTGAAAACACCCTTGAAAGCCCTTGAAAAAAGGTTGGCGAATGAAGCTAGAAACCCGGTGTGCTGGTATAATCCGAAACATGAAGTCAGGGCTATATGTGCTCCCTGCCTGCTGTGTAGAAATATGTTGGGTGGGTGACACAGGAAGGGATCTCCTGACAGCATGTTGCCACCCGTCTTAACCCTGCCCTCTCACCTTGTAGGACCGTGTTCTATATGCCCCGTATACCACGAATGCTGCATGGTTTTGTAGACACAATAACACCACTGTTTTTTCTGGCCACAGATTTTTTTTTTTTTAATTTTTATATTTGTCTTCGTTGTACAATAACATTTTGTTCTGATATAAATATTATGGCTAATATTTAACTGGAGAGTTTTGGCTTTGCAGAATCTATCAGCGTTGGCTTTTTTTTTT